CACACAAACACACACACACATACACACACTCGCACCAGAGAGGGTTTGGAGTCAGTAAATACCGTGAAAGTGACGAACCATGGATCCTAATCTCTGTATGTGATACCCACACGCACGAACCTCCCCGTGGTGCACATTGGATAACGCGAATGCCGGCGGTATTACCAAGTCTTGCAAAATGCAGGGGTAACTATGAAACCCGATAACTCGGCTCCTAGGTACGGTAGAGCAATGTTCTTTGCGCCATTTTAAAGGGGAGGTTTTCCATTTCAAAGCCCATGTGGTGGCATTCTTGGCCCCATCCTTGCTTTTCCCATGGACGGCTACAAAGTCATGAAATTTCCAGAATATTTTCACGATCTGATTTTGGCCTTTACAAACAAAACAGTTCGATGAGGCGAATAATTCAACCCTACCCGTTTTAAAGTCGAGGTTCACTCGTTAAAACCCGCGAAGGATCATTATCCTACGATTCCCCTAAGCTAAGATATAGCTTCTCAAAAATCGGCAAAATTTGCAAGTTTTAAAGCGCTCCCCTAATTGTTTTGCGTAGTGTATGTTGTGCGTATCGTAGAAACCATACAAATATGTGTGTATATACAGGGTGTCCTAGACCACACGTACACCCCTTTTCTTTTAAAAACTAAGCATTTTAGAGAAAAACGTTTCGAACAAAAATTGTATGGTTTTGAGGGGAACATAAGATGGTGTCATTGGTTTGACCTTGGATGGCATCGTTAAGGTCAAGTCAAGGACACCTTTAATTTCTTAAATGGAATCCCCTCCTTTTTATTGCATATTCTTATAGCTTATCCCGAGAGCTTTCCAAAACACTATAATAAAGTATTTTTTCATTAAGTACTTTTTGAGTTATTTTATATTATAGTCTGACATATTTTGATATAAAAAATAAAATATCTCGTAAAATATTTAGTTCTCGATAATCTTACCGTAATACTTTTATATACAGAATAATGAGACAAATCAATTAGTAAAAAAAATAATTGTTTTTAAGAAAAAATATGTAATTATTTACAATGTATTTTTTAAAACAACTATTTGTTTTTTTCTTTACACTAAAGATTAATCGCGAGCGACGAGAAATCTCTTTTATTACTATCGAAAACTTCGCGTTTCGTAAGCGAGAGTACGAACTGGAAAAGCAAGCGACTTTTCTATCACGAGAGTTTAGACAAATAATAACACACTGTCACGGATGTAGTTTACGATCGAGTGCGCCCGGCGGTTCCCCGAGAGAGCTTTTATACAATCGTTCTTTTGCCTATTCCAGAATGTTCGACTTGTTTTCGCGAAAGATCGAGCTTGGAGTTGTTTGCGATGATTAGGAAAATTAGGACGTTGTTATTCGCATTTGTTTGCAATTCTAGCTCTCTCGGGTGACCGCTGCATGGCCCGCTTCGAACGGCACGAGCGATGCCGCGGGCCTGGCGTGATTCGTGCAGCGCCGCTGTTTGCGCGTGATCTGATTCGCGGCGAGCCGTGCGCCGCGCGAGATGGCCGCTGACGCGCCAATTTTCGAGCGCTCCTTTTGGAAACGCTCAATCTCAAACAATTTGTCATAAAATCAAATTTGTATTTATAGAAATGTTATACACAAATTCTCTGCATAAAATTAAAACGCATTATATTTTTATTAAGAGAAACCTGAGTTTCAAAATAAGTTCAATAGAAATAAGAAAATATAAAAAAATTTTAA